TCTTTCAATGCTACTCCTTCTGAGGGAATATCTCCCAAAGATTCTCCTTCCGAGGGTATACATCCCTCATTGCTCTGCCTCTTCCTCGGCCATATCCACGGCCGACGCTTGCTGCCCCAGCGCCATTTGCACTCGCCAACTCACGGTGGCGGAAGTCTTCTTGAAGGATCGCGCGCTTCACGTCTTCAAGCGAGACACAGGGCAGATCACGTTCAAGTTGATGATGAGCGAGGACCACGATTCCGGGAGTAGGGCCAGCAACTTGGTTTTCTTATGGAGCTCACAATAGCTCAAATCTGCTCCTTCAAGTCGCGTCAACAAGTCGAAGAATTTCTGCACCCCTTCTTCAACTGCTTCATCCTCTTCAATTCGTAGTGTCACCATTTGCCATTCCAACACCACAGCTACCGCCGCTGTTGCATGAGTGTGTACACCCTTGAGAGCAGCCCATGCCTTTGGTCCCTTCTCTGGTTCACGCTGGAAAGGCTTGATGTGACGGATTTGGCTGCTCCCCAACGCTTGCACAAGTAGGAAATAGCCTTGTGCGCTCTTCCGCACCCACGGGTTCTTCTCCGAGTCGTTCTCGGGACGCTTCTCCGTTCCTTCCATCATCTCCAGCAGGTAATAGTGGTCAAACACGTTCTCCATTCTAAAAGACCACTCAGCAAAGTTGTCACCGTTGAACTTGTCAAGCCCAAACATTCTACACTCATCCCTAGATGGGCCAAGACTTGGTCGCACGGGCGCCACAGCTGAATCACGGGCTTGGCGTTGTGCTTGGGCTTCTCCACTGCCACCAGCACCTCTGCCACCGCTTTCCTCAGACCCAGCCATTGTCGAAACTGCTCCAAGGGGCTCTGATACCACTTGTTATAGTCATAGTAGGCTTCAATGTGCCTAAAACGAAAGATAGAGTGCAGAGTCGGATTTCTGCACAGCAGCTTTAAATGTTCATAGCGTTCTGGTCACAACTTCAAATGACCTGATTCAAATTGGATCTGGAGCGTCTAAACGTATTGATCACATAGCGTTGGTTTTGAACGAACGGCACTATGGCAGCCACTTTGGTCTTAGAACACACGATAGGAAGAGTTAGGAAGAGTAATGAGTTGGGAATGACTCCGAGCTCCTACAAACCCCAAGAGCCGAGGTACAGTGATGTGGAACAGTGCCACACTGTCCCCAAACACGAAGGGTCTCAAAACTACCCTTCATTAGGGCCTACACCAAGTGAAATGTTACACTACACAAAGTAATGTAACTATCTTCAATATCTTGAGGTGTACCCTTTTTCGCGGGCTTCGCGATCACTTGAGCCTTGACACCAAGGCTCTGGTTCTTCACCACAAACTCATCCTTGAGTTCTTGATGAGTCTTCTGCACACACGTGCGACACGCGGAACGTTCCACACACATGACAAAATAGAAACCCTGCACGAGACACACGACAAAATAGAAACCGCGCACGGGACACAAACGACCGCGTGACACGCGACTAGCGATAACTCGCTATTGTCTCGACACATATACTCGACATCATGACTCAACATTCACACACTATTATAAGCATGAAATATATATTATCCCATGCCCTCATACCATTCCATGCACACACGCATGCACGCACACAGACAACAAGCCGAGTGCAAACCGTAGGGTTGCACCAACTGCTCAGCCGCGTTGGGCAACTCTGTGCGGAAGACGTCGGTAAGACGAGAGAAGCAGCGGTACTGGGTGTGGAGCCTCCCGCATGTCTAACTAGTGCAGTCACCCATGCGAATGACATACAGGCAGGGAGAACTACCCCCAGCTGCCCCACGCTGAGCAAACCACTCACGGAGGTCCTGGGGCGAAAGCTGACGCTGCTGCTGCTGCCTCTGACCACTGCCAAGGCCTCCCCTCTGACTGGTACCACCCCGGCCGCCACTACTACCGCCGCCTCCACTCCCACTGCCGCCACCACTGCCGCCGCCATTGCCGCCACCACCGCCGCTACCTACACCTCCACCCCCACCACCACTCCCCCCACCACCGCCGCCCCCTCCACCGCCTCCACCGCCTCTAACGCCGCCTCCACCTCTGCCGCCCCCACCGCCCCTGCCTCCCCTGCCCCTACCGCTGCGGCACCTCCCACTAGGGGCAGACGTAGCTCCTACCTCCTCAGCACAAAGCTATTCAACAGCTGCAGTAGAGGCTACTGAGGGGAGAAGGGGGGAGGGCGAACACCCCTCAAAGAAGGGAGTGTGAGGAGTGCCACAAGAAGCGCCTACAACGACTATGCTAGTCTCAGCTGCAAAGAAGTGCTTCTCAAGCAGGTCAACAGTGAGGTCGGTGGGGTCAAGGGCGAGAAAGGAGGTCTTTGATAATGCTAAGAGAGTCAGGGAGGTGGGTGATTATGAAGTAGAGAGTGATGTACATGGGAGGAGGGTTCTTGGTGAGAAACTCGACGGGAAGCGCACCACAATAGTGATTGTCACTAGTGCGAAGGTGAGTGACGAGGTCGGCTACTGTGGCATAGGCGGATAGCTCTGGGAACAGGTAGGGCAGGAGAAGGCGACCTAGAGTAGCAGTGGTTGGGGAGGAGTAACGAGCAACTACAGCGTCGTACAGAGCTTTCGCAGTCTTGTGCTGTCCGAAATGAACGTGTTTGGCTAACGGCAGGTGGTTGCAAACGGCCAGGCGAGTAACAGCGTCACGAGTAAGCCACTGGGAGCGAGCTACACTGTCAGCTGTGGCAGCAGGGGCGATAGAGACGCCAAAAGTGAGGTCAAACAGTGAGACTCCGTCCTTGAAATCGCTAAGTAAGAACAGCTGTAAGTCGTCGAGCCACCCATCGAACTCTATCGGGCGGCCCTCCGGATCGAACGTAAGGACAATGAGCGTGGCCATAGCGGGCAGAGTGGTCAGGCGCGCTAGCAGCAGAGCAGCACGCAGGCAGGGATAGGCAAGCTAGCGCGCTAGTAGTAGGGTAGTGCGCAGGCAAGGCAAGGCAGGGCTGCGTAAGGCGACGCAGCAACGAGCTGCTCGTGGCAGGGCAGGGCGCGTGGCAGGGCAGGGCGTGTGGCAGGGCAGGGTGCGCGGCGGCGCGGCGCGCGGGTAAGGCAGGACGACGCGGCGGTAGGGCACGCAGCAGGGCAGGGTGCGCGGCGGCACGGCGCGCAGGTGTTGGTGCAACCTACGGTTTGCACTCGGCTTGTTGTCTGTGTGCGTGCATGTGTGTGTGCATGGAATGGAATGAGGGCATGAAATAATATATATATTTCATGCTTATAGTAGTGTGTGCGTGAAGAATCATGATGTCGAGTGTGTGTGTGTCGAGTCAATAGCGAGTTATCGCTAGTCGCGTGCCACGCGGTCATTTGTGTCTCGCACGCAGTTTCTATTTTGTCGTGTATTGAATGTTCGGCGTGTCGCAGGTGTGTGCAGCAGACCTATCAAGAACTCAAGGATGAGTTTGTGATGAGTTTGGCCCACCCAGGGATGAGCCTAGGGTGTTTGGGCTTGACAAGTTCAACGGCGACAACTTTGCTAAATGGTCCTTCAGAATGGAGAATGTGTTCGACCATTATGACCTGCTCGAGGTGATGGAAGGAACGGAGAAGCGTCCCGAGAACGACCCGGAGAAGAGCCCGTGGGTGAGGAAGAGCGCACAAGGCTACCTCCTACTAGGGCAAGCGTTGGGGAGAAGACAAATCCGTCACATCAAGCCTTTCCAGCGTCAACCAGGGAAGGGACCAAAGGCATGGGCTGCCCTCAAGAGTGTACACGCTCTTGCAACAGCGGTGGTGTTGGAATGGCGAATGGCGACACTACGAATTGAAGAGGATGAAGTGGTTAAAGAAGGGGTGCAGAAATACTTCAACTTATTGACGCGGCTTGAGGGAGCTGATTTGAACTACAGTGAGCTCCAGAATAGGACCAAGTTGCTGGCCTTACTCCCAGAGTCATGGTCCTCACTCATCATCAACTTGAACCGTGATCTGCCCCGCCTCTCGCTCGAAGATGTGAAGCGAGCAATCATTCAAGAGGATTTCTGTCGCCGTGAGTTGGCGAGTGCGGATGGCCATGAGGTGGGGGAGGTGGGAGAGATGGGAGAGGAGGTGAGTGTAGTCGGCAGGAGAGGAAAGCGGAGTGTGGTCAAGTGCTAGTAACGTGTCTCCTAGGCGAATATGATTGCGCGTTGGTACCCGGCTGAAACGCACGAAAGAAGAGCGTCAGAATGTGACAAAGCCTCCCTAAAGATGTGCTGATGTGGAAGGATGCTCTTGTCGAAGGATTTTTAGTTTTCTCGGAAGGCTTACTGTAGCTGTCTTTCTTTCGAGGGACTTTCATCTCAACTTGCGCACACTTTCCGCTGATCTGCTTTTGAGGCAGAAGAGTTATTGCGCTAATACAGAACTCGGCTTTCCCGCACATCACGTAAGCATTATATTCGTCGGCTGTCTTGTGCCAGCAAGCACAAAACTAAACCCCTTTCGGATGACAAGTTTTCAAGGGCATCAACCCTAAACACCACGCGACAAGGCGTTTAGGGTTGATGCCCCCCAAGTAGGATTTAATTTTGGGGCATCAACCCTGAACACTTAGTCACAAGGTGTTTAGGGTTGATGCCCTTCTTTACCATGCCAGCCAAGAGGGATTTAGTTTTGGCATCAACCCTAAACACTTAGTCGCAAGGTGTTTAGGGTTGATGCCCTTCATTAACATGCTAGCCGAGAGGGATTTGGTCTAGAGCGGATTAAAAGGCAAAAGAAAGCTGTGCACCGTTTGCGTGAGTAGCAACAGAAATGACTTCCGATATGATGACACGTGGGAAATTGTGGAGACGAGTTCTGTGTTAGCGCAATAAGTATTCTATCTGGGCCGCGAAACCTGTGAAACTCTGTGCAGGTAGAGACGAAGGTCCCTAGAAAGCGCAGGATCGGAAGTACCTCTTCCGAGATAACTAAAAACCCCTTGTCGAATGCTGAACTGAACGGGACAGAACGTAAACGGACTTGTTAAATGCAAATTTGGGTGAAGCGATCACGTTGGAGCTCTTGCGCCGTGTGGAAAACCCTTCGACCGTTTCCTAACTTCACAAAATGCTCAGTCTTCACCAGCGCCACCAATGCGGCATAGACTTCGGTTAGCTGACCCAATTACTCCAAATGTGCAAATGAAACTGCACAGCGACCAGTCTGTGGGGAAAAGGTTTTGTACGTCAACTGCTCACAACCAAAACGAGTTACTCAAAGCTCACAGTTCCGACCTTCTAGGAGTCGAAAACGCGGTGTGCGTTTAACGGATGACTAGGCAAACCGTTGATGGGAGAAAGCCGAACGGTTGGGTAGGCCGTCGCACTCAGCGTGGCGGACATATGGTGTCTCCTCCCTACAGTTACAAAAAACGGACATTGCCTCCCTTTCCGCCCTTTCCGCCGCCCACCCCAGGACCGCCGGGACCACCCACCCTAACGTCGCCGCCACTGCCTGTATCTCCTCCATTTCCGGTATCTCCGCCACTGTTGGTATCGCCATTTTCGATATCTCCACCAATGTCTCCGCCACTGCCCGTATCCCCGCCATTGCCGGTTTCTCCGCCAGGGCCCCCCTGCGCTCCGCCAGGCCCGCCTTGCTGGTAACCAGGCTTCCCTCCCTTTCCCCCCTTGCCCCCTTTCCCTCCCTTTCCACCCTTGCCTCCATTCCCACCCTTCCCTCCCTTTCCGCCCTTGCCTCCCTTTCCGCCCTTGCCGCCCATCCCTGGACCGCCGGGACCGCCAGGACCAACGTCGCCGCCACTGCCCGTATCCCCCCCATTGCGGGTATCTCCGCCAATGTCGCCACCAATATCTCCGTCACTGCCGGTATCTCCGCCATTGCTGGTATCTTCGCCAGTGTCTCCGTCGAGGTCTCCGCCAATGTCCCCACCTATATCTCCGCCGCTTCCGGTATCTCCACCAAAATCGCCGCCAATATCCCCACCAATATCTCCGCCATTTGTTAGTATCTCCGCCATTACCGGTATCTCCGCCAAAATCTCCGCCAATGTCCTCACCAATATCTCCGCCACTATCGGTGTCTCCGCCAAAAACTCCGCCATCTCCGCCGACAGACGAGGTAGAGCGAAATAGAATGGGTGTTCAAAATGGATCCACCTTCTTCAAGAGAGAGAGGGCCCTAAGGGCCAGACTACGCCGCGGAGAGAAGCTCCATCCAAACGCTGCACGAATAGCAAAAGATGAAAGCGTCAGTTGAAATTCATGGTGATTCAGAGTTTTGGAATAAAAGAAAGAGAAGTGGAGAGTGTGAAAGTTTAGAAGAAAAGAAGAGGATTGAACTAGCAGGAATGAGGATACAAATAGCAAACCCTAGAAGGGTTGTACTCGCTATAGAGCACCCCACTACAGGCTAGAGCATAAGAAAACATTCTGACACACCCCCATAGCCAAAGTGGGGTGTAATCAGCAGAGCAAGCAAAGCAGTACAAGCTCAGGGTGGATCACAATGTCACCACACATTCTGAGCACAAGTTCAAGAAGCAATAGTTTAGAGTTCACAATTATGAGCAAAGCTAGTGGTAGTCACAACGGGCAAGCGAGGAGGAGGAGGGAGAGTGAGAGGAGAGGAGATAGGAGGCGACGGCTGAAGCTGCAGACACACAGGCAACAGGAGGCAGACTGGCACAGCGGCTACCGGACGAAGTCCCCGCAATACAGGAGTAACAGGCCCCGCGGCTAAAGTAGCGGCAGACGAGCAACGGACCCATGGGCGGCTGGCACAGCTGGCTACGACTGGGCTACCGGACGAAGTCCCCGGAATACAGGTGCTGCTGGCGACAAGACGGCAACCTCCATACAGCTTCCCCAAACTATCTCACTCCTCCTGACACACACCCGCTGCTACACCGCTAGCTCCACTCCCACGCACCCCCCTTAAACCCTAAACCCCAGTCTCCCACACATCCACTCCCCTCAGCGACAGCTGCAGCAGTGGGAGACGAAGGAGGAGGAGCAAAGGGAGGAATGAAGAAGTGCCACCCCCATACTCGCCACCCCCTACTTGCCACCCCCAAACCCTAACACAGGCAGGGTGGGATGGCGGGTAGGCAGGGTGGGATGGCGGCGCTCGCCCCCCTCCTCCAGGTAAGTCCTCCCGAGGGTCCCCGAGGGTCGCCTCGACAGGCGACGGGAAAAGGGGCCGGGGCGCAAGTAGGGCGGCGGGGCCGCTCGTGTAGGGCGGCGGGGCCGCTGGTGTAGGGCGGCGGGGCCGCGAAGTTGGGGCGGCGGGGCCGCGTCAGAAGGGCGGCGGGGCCGCGAAGTGGGGCGGCGGGGCCGCAAAGTGAGGCGGCGGGGCCGCGACTTGAGGCGGCGGGGCCGCGAAGTGGGGCGGCGGTGTCAGAATGCTATATAGCTTATACATTTGTGTAGGCTATAGTGGGGTATCTCATAGGGGGTACAACCCAATTAGGGTTAGTACTTGTACTCACTCAGTTCATAGTTCATTCATTCTCGTTTCAATTCTCACATGGTATCGAGCAGGTTCCCTCGTGGGAACTGTTCCTAAGGCCCTACTACTGCTTCCGCTGCTACTCGATCTGTCGCACGCCCCGCGGCGTGCGACCTATTTTCGCGCGCGGCAATTTTCTTTCTGGCGCGCGCCCCGAGGCGAGCGACCCTGCCTCTTTCATCGCGGCCCCGCCCCTTGTCGCGACCCCGCCTCTTTCGTCGCGGCCCCGCCCCTTGTCGCGGCCCCGCCCTACGTCGCGGCCCCGCCTTACGTCGCAGCCCCGCCCCGAGGCGCGCGACCCCGCCTCTTTCGTCGCGGCCCCGCCACTCTCGTCGCGGCCCTGCCCTTCGTCGCGACCCCTGCCGCCCTTCGTCGCGGCCCCTGCCGCCCTTCGTCGCGGCCCCTGCCGCCCTTCGTCGCGGCCCCTGCCGCCATTCTACACCGCGGCCCCGCCACCTCCCTTGCGGCCCCGCAGCCCTGCACCGACCCGGCACCGCCTCTGCTGGCCCCGTCGCCTGCCCCTGCGCCCCTGCGACCCTGCTCCACCTCTGCCGGCCCCGGCGCCGCCTCTGCTGGCCCCGTCGCCGCTCCACCCCACCCCGCCGCTGTCCCCAGGCGGCCCCGCTGTCACCACCGAGCCGCTGGCGCCGCCGAGCTAGTGCCGAGTCACCCGAGCCACCCGAGCCGCCCGAGCCGCCCGAGCCGCCCGAGCCGCCCGAGCCACCCGAGCCGCCCGAGCCGCCCGAGCCACCCGAGCCGCCCGAGCCGTCCGAGAAGCAGCGCCACCTCAGCCGCTCAAGCCGCCAGGTCGCCGAGCCGCCGAGCTGCAGTTGCTGCCGAGCAGCCGAACCGCCGAGCCGCCAAGCCGCCGAGCCGCCCGAGTCGCCCGAGCAGCCGAGCCGCCCGAGTCGCCCGAGCCGCCGAGCCGCAGTTGCTGCAGTGCCGCCGTGCCGCCAAGTCGCCGAGTCGTCGAGCCTCCTCTTCCCACCACTGGTGAGTCCCTGCCTTACTAGCGCGCTGCCTACTGCTTGCTTGGCTGCCTGCCTTACTGCTGCTACTTCTGCTCCTGCTACTACTGGCGGCGGCCAGATGCAGCTTCAACGACGCCCACGCGCGTCTCTCACGCCCCGGCAGCTTCGTGAGTGGTACGCTCAAAGTGGAGGGTCTCTCAGTTCTGTTCGCTGCTCTTACGTGATTCGCACTGGTGCTCGGACAGGTCAGCCTTGTGGGACGCCTAGTCACACACCGTCCCACTGCTTTGCCCGTCTGAGCGACGCCTGGTGTACCGAGTTTGGCGACGAGGCTGAGCTCCCCGACTGGGTGGAGTTGCTTAGGCAGAGGGTAGATATATTTGCTCTTGACTATGATGCTATTCTCACTGCCATGTATGCATTACCTACTAGTGCTGACCGTGCCGGTCACCTGTGCGTACCGCCTGACCCGGGTATAGATCCTGCTGCTCTAGCTGCTGGTGCGGCTGCTGCTCTGGGTGCTAGTGTGTCTCCTGCTCCAGGTACAGGTGCGGCTGCTGCTCTAGGTGCTAGTGAGTCTGCTTCCTCAGGTGCGGGTGAGTCTGCTCTCTCAGGTACCGCGTCGGCTCCGGCCTCTCACACCTTCACCCTTAACTGGGGGGCTTCCCGCTCCTTCTTTCAAGACTGCACCACACTCACGCCGCTTGGTCGGCCAGTTGCAGTCTCTCTGGCAGACCCCTCTGGGGGCCTTGTCCTTGCTCACTTCTCCACTGTCCTCTCGTGTCCGGCGCCCCCCTCTAGCACCCTGTCTGGTCTTTACCTCCCCTCCTTCTCTACAAACTTGGTGAGTGGTGCTGACCTGCAGGATGCGGGGGTTCACCAGTTCACTCCTGCGAGTCAGCGGGTGACCCACTGCACGGACGCTCGGATAGGCCGACACCTGGCCACGTTTACTCATCGGCCAGGGTCGAGCCTGTACACACTGACCACTGCGTCTCCTTCAGTTGCTGAGCCTGGTAGGGTAGCTGCGTCGGGTAAGGTGTTTGCTGCAGCGTCCAGGTCTGGTCCTGAGTCTGCCCCCTGTTCGTGTCGTCTCCTGTCTCACGAGACTCTCCTCTGGCACCACCGCCTTGGTCACCCCTCTCTGCTTCGGCTCAGAGGCATGGCCTCTCATCTTCTTGTTTCTGGTCTCCCCCGGTCCCTCCCTCCCCTTCCTCAGGGCCCTGGCCCTACCTGTGTCCCCTGTGTCGAGGGGCGCCAGCGTGCTGCCCCTCACTCCTCCCAGTTTCCTCCGACAGAGGCCCCGTTGCAGACGCTTCACATGGACGTGTGGGGCCCAGCCCCCGTCCGTGGACAGGGTCACGAGCGCTACTTCCTGCTAGTTGTTGACGACTACTCGCGTTACTCCGTAGTCTTCCCCTTGCGCAGCAAGGGTGATGTCACTGAGGTGCTGATCGACTGGATCCGCGCAGCTCGTCTCCAGCTCAGGCAGAGCTTTGGCTCGGACTTTCGTGTTCTACGTCTGCACTCGGACAGAGGCGGAGAGTTCTCCTCTGGCCTTCTGAGAGCCTACTGTCGCGCACGAGGCATCCGTCAGACCTTCACGCTTCCGGACTCTCCGCAGCAAAATGGGATTGCTGAGCGCCGCATTGGCATGGTCATGGACGTCGCTCGTACGTCTATGATGCATGCGGCTGCCCCCCATTTTCTGTGGCCGTTTGCGGTCAGGTACGTTGCGCATCAGATCAACCTTCACCCCAGGGTCTCCATGCCGGAGACCTCCCCAGCCTTGCTGTGGACGAGGAAGGTTGGCGATGCGTCGGCGTTCAGGGTCTGGGGATCTCGGGCGTTTGTCCGCGACTTGTCTGCGGACAAGCAGTCCCCTCGTGCTGCTCCTTGCGTCTTCCTGGGGTTCCCCCCTGACGCGCCTGGGTGGCTGTTCTACCACCCCACCTCTCGCCGTGTTCTGTCCTCCCAGGTCGTCAAGTTCGACGAGTCGGTCCCCTACTACCGCCTCTTCCCCTACCGCACTCCGTCCCTCCCCCCGCTCCCGCTCTTCCTTGTACCAGGTCCCCCCCAGGTAGACCCCCTCCCCCCTCAGGGTCCTGCCCCTTCAGGTGTGTCCCAGGTAGACGCAGTCGAGCCTGTCGAGGTCACTGGTGACTTTGGTGCTGCTGAGGGTGCTGAGCCTGGGGGTGCTGTGCGTGGGGGTGCTGAGCCTGGGGGTGCTCCGCCTCGGGGTGCTTTGCCTGGGGTTGCCGGGCCTGGGGGTGCTGAGTCTGGAGGTGCTCCGCCTGGAGGTTCTCCGGGTGCTTCGTCTCGCCGGGTGCCACTCTCTCCACAGGAGCTGCGCGAGTGGTTTGCCCGGCGCTGGAGCTGTGCAGCTGGTGCTGGAGGTTCTTCGGCTACTGGGGGTGCTGAGCCTAGGGGTGCTGAGCCTGGGGGTGCTGAGCCTGAGGGTGCTGAGCCTGGGGGTGCTGAGCCTGGAGGTACTCCGCCTGGAGGTTCTCCGGGTGCTACGTCTCGCCGGGAGCCACTCTCTCCACAGGAGCTGCGCGAGTGGTTTGCCCAGCGCTGGAGCCGTGGTGCTGGTGCTGGAGGTTCGTCGGCTACTGAGGGTGCT